CGTACTTAGGGTGACACACCAGCGAAAAAGGTCGTCGAGCCACAAGTTCGCGAACTTACTCGCACGTCTATTACCCCTATTGGAGACTAGCTACTGCCCGCGACGGGTCGTCCAAATCGAAGATCTGAAACGTCTGATGTTGAATTCTATGAGCCCGGGGACGGGAAAACAACGTGATTCGCGAGACGATTCGAGACGTTCTAGATCTTTCATTTTTGTAAGTCAACAGGAAATGTCCATCAGACTAAACAACTTTTGCTAAGACGTCATTCCTATATATGTTATAGTGTCGCTTGGCTTTGGATGGAGTGTAACTCCTTGTGTGTTATTAAGTTAATATATTGGTAATATTGTTTAGATCACGTTCACATGAGGCTTAAGTACTTATAGAACAAAAATAGTTCAGCGCAAAGCTTCCGGGTAAACTTTGTTGAAAGTTGACACGTCCGGCACGTGAACATAAAGATTTCTAGAACTGATAACCCGGGAAAGAGCGACGTACAACTGACCATGGGAGAAACAACTGACGCCGAGATCTACTCCAGCAACACGAAAAGTCTGCCCTTGAGCCTTATTAATTGTAATTGCATAACACACTGATACTGGAAATTGCGTTCTTTTAAATTGGAATCGAAAATTATTTGGTATTATGGGAATTCTGGGAATAAAAACGGTTTCTCCTGCACCGCAACCCATTAAAATTTGAGCCTCGATTATATTTTGTTGCAACTGGGTTACTTTTAGCCGAGTTCCATTGCAAAGTTGTGGTGGTCTTAAATTTGGGAGCAAAATAATTGGAATGCCAATTTTTAAACAAATTTCATGAGAAAGAAGTCCGGGCATATTTAAAGAATTTAAAAATTCTATCGGGTAATTAGTGGCTTCTTGTTCATCGACCATTCTATTTATTGAACTATAAACTTTGATTTCCCCCTGTATATTCGACAGTATTTTGTTATTAATCTCAGATGCCTGGTCATTGCGAGGAGTTAAAATGGATCTTTCGCATAGCCAAGAATTGTCCCTATTTAATATAATTGTTACGTCACCGTAAACTGACGATATAAGATGTGGTTGGGATTGCACTAAACAACATAACTCAGGCGTCAGAATAAGTTTTCCTTGGTGTAGTTGTGGATAGGTATCTTCACCAATCTTTAATAATTTATCAGAAAATTGACGATCATCCGGGTTATCTCCAGTTCTCACTTGCATGTTCATAGTCAAATGTACCGATTGTATATCACGCCACAAATAAGAGCTTTTTAGGCAAGCCCTAACGTCATCAGCTCGGGTTCCCCGTGGTATTACCAGTGAGATTTGTCGGAAATCACCACAAAATAAAACCGTGATACCGCCCATTGGTTGATCATTTTGTCTTATATCCCTTAAAGTTCTGTCTACTGCTTCTACTCTTTTTCGGTGGGCCATCGTACATTCATCCCATATGTTGTATATTAAATTACACTCACGTAATACCTTAGCTTTGTCGCTATTTCTTGAAATACTACAGGTTGGACTTTCCGTGCGATCTAAATCAATTGGTATTTTAAACATAGTGTGGGCAGTTTTACCTCCTGGTAGCAATGTTGCAGCTATACCTGATGAAGCCACGGCAAGAGCAATTTTACGCTGATTTTGAACATAAGCTAATATTAATTTAGTCAAAAAGGTTTCCACGTAACACGTTAACGTGTTACGTAAAGTAATAGGACGGAAATATGGTCCTCCAGGTGCATCTAAAAACCATATTGTTCCCAAATTATTCTGAACGCGATCATAGACTGAACTGAACATTGTTCTGCAGTCATCATTGGGACACCGTTTTCTAATGTTGCCAGTAGTTCCATTGAGTTCCACCAATCTCTGCGGAATATTCCCTATTGGTAATCTCTCCGACTGAGGTTGGTGTTGGCAAACCATATACCACAGAGTGATTTACCGCCTACTGCTGTTAAGTCTTCCTGAAGAGCTAATAAGCACAGATTTATGGCTAGGTCACGGCAAATATTTTTAGTTGCGCCTTCATCATTGTGAGATATATTCCGAAGAAAGTCTTCTGCAAATTTTTCATTATATTTTTCCCATAATTAAACAGCATCTGACAAATTACAAAATGTGAGTAATGTTACAAATAAATGGCGTAACCGTCGTGGATTATCACTAACACAGGATTCTGCTAAAGCGTTATCCCAATGCTGATAATTTTCAAGCAAACGACGCGCTTGGCAAGCTGCATGATAAGTTGGATAAACAACATCGTCTACTTTTCTTAAATCTATAAATGATGTTGGTCCTCGCACTGTATGTAATAATAATCGCAAATAGAAACACTCAGCGTTGTTAGGATGAACGGTATACACTCTGCCAATAACATGTTCTTTGAAAATACCTGACTCGCCATCTACAGGCCTGCCACGGCGTCTACGATTAAAGACACCTTGTTGCTTATCGTAGGTATAAGACAATGGAACTTCCTCATACAAAAGAGATTTTGCAAAATCATCAGTTTGGCAAAGTCGAAAGAATGCTAATAAAGTTGTTTGTCTAGGGTTCTCTAATCGTTCTGTAACATTTTCGGCGTTGAAATATATACGTTGACCGCCTTCAAGATGCTCATCCAGATGAGTCACAGGTGGATATCTTTCGTGAATGTTGAAACTTAAGATCCGCCACACAGCTTCTGAAGAGCTGATATATCTGCCTGACTGAAATCTAGTAACTTCATTATGTTCATTTCTCAACGCAAATGTAGCTTGGTCACTGCCCTTGTTAATATACTTAAAAATATATTTTATTGACTCTACACTATTACACATTTCAACATTTATGTGAGCTTGAAATGCTCTAGACAACACAGGCGAATACGGAACGACCCACCTATTATCTAAAGTAACCTGTTGTCCAGACACTCGCTTTTCAACAGTAAAACCACCATTGTCTCTTGAAAGGCGACGATATAATGGGTATCCATCATGTCCTGTTACAGTTTCATCCACTAATGCTTTTGGATATCTTTTAGTGCAACGACCGTCTTGCATGCAAGGAGCATTCCCGTTAAATGCACCACATGGACCATGTATCATATGAGTTTTAACAATGTCGTATAACACGGGATCTGCAATCGGATCTGGAATTTCAGCACTGATTGAACTGTCTACATCATTAGGTCGAACCTTATCTTTTAACAAAAGCAGGATATGTGCGTGAGGTAAGCCGCGTTTTTCCCAGTCAACGCTATACATATAACACAATACATCTCCAAAAATGTTATCTTTGGTAAGTAGATCTATCATTGATTTTAATTTTGAATGAAAAACTCTTGCGATAATATCATGGCGGTCATGCGGTGCTTGACCCTCAAAAGCTCCCGAGTGATTTCATCCCACTTGGGATTGGTAGCTACAGTAATAAATAAGTCGGGACGTCCATATTTTTTTACGTAACAAAAAGCATCTTGAGTACGTTCGGGCATGTAGCCTGGACCACCAGTAAAAGAAGAGGGTAAAATAACTATAACCCATATTCACCGTATCATTATCCTGCTGCATGGCGTCGCGAAGGTGCACGTATTCTTCAGCGCGCAGCTGTCTTTGATTAGATCTTATATAAACTAATATTTCGGTTTCAATTTTTGCGTACATGTCAACAATAAACTGATTGAATAAGCCACGAAAACGTTGAAAGTATACAAATCTATTCCGTCTCACTTGAAAGTGGTAACAATAAAATGGAAGGCATGACATCTTTTTATTATAATTAGGTGCGCCTGTACGCGGATCAGTTTGGTATAAAGCGAAATTATAACCATCTTCCCCTCGAGAGTATATCAAAGGATATTGCAAACTGTCGTAAGCCCTGTGGGTTTCGGAAATACGTTTTACGGCAAACGATTGTCTCTGGAACGGATAACGATATCACGCCTACCACATTCCTGGTCGACCAATACTACAGCAACTTCATTCGTGGATGGAACGTTATAACGCCCAGGGTGTTCCTGAGTTGGACGCCTATCGGCATTTATAACAATTTTATAATTGTTATCACCATCTTGAGGAAGAGCTAATAATGCCGATTTAAAACTGCATACATACGAATTAACCTGATGCAACATGTTCTGAAGTTGTGAAATAAGTTCAGTATTTAAATTCGGGAAATATTGATTTCTTATATTCAACTGTTCGTTGTAGTCGGATACAAAATACGAGTATATTTGAAGAAACTTAGGTTGGGTTGGTTATCAAATGGTAAATCTGACCTTGTATCTTAAAAGTAGGCATGAAAGGACCTTCTGAGATTTGTTGAGCACCAAACGATGTCATTTGAAACGCACTATTATAAGTGCGAATATTGTCTAAGAACTGTTTAGATTGCACATGTTCCCCTAAAAGTAGTGACTTCAAAGGTTCTGGTGGATCTTCGAACAAAGGCAAATTTATTTTACCTCCAGAACAACAGAAACCAGCCGACTCTTTACTCCACTTTGAAGCATTACAAAAAGAACATACTACGTTCATATCGCCTATTACAGAAAGATGAGGTTCAATTGTGAGGTTATAAGCAAACCCACTTTTATATTTGTCGGACCACGCCACCGAATTTGAAGATTGATCTTCTATGTGTACATCTAAGTCATTAAGACTATGTCGAAATCTGTCTGCAGTAAGACGGGCCTCTCGCTGTTCGTCCGTTTCAAGAGACCGAATATTTTCAATTCTTAATCTTTCATTAGACAAACTTATTAATCGTTCTTGTCTCAAAGAATTATAATATTCGCGTCCCGACTCTAGTCGTTGTTCATGCTCATGTTCATCTTCAAGAGATTGAATAATATTATCGTGCACCCTATCATTTGTCAAGCGGTCTTCATATTGAGTAAAAGTTTCAGATTCTCGAGATAAAATATGACGTTCGCGATCAGCTGTGAGACGTAATTCCGTCTCAGTGTAGGTTTCGGACTCGCGAGATAATGTATGCCGTTCGCGGTCAGCTGTGAGACATTATTCCCTCTCAGTGTAGGTTTTGGACTCACGGGATAGTGCATGCCGTTCGCGATCAGCTGTGAGACGTAATTCCCTCTCAGTGAAGTTTTCGGACTCACGGAATAGTACATGCCGTTCGCGATCAGCTGTGAGACGTAATTCCCTCTCAGTGTAAGTTTCGGACTCGCGAGATAATGTATGCCGTTCGTGATGAGCTGTGAGACGTAATTCTCTCTCAGTGTAGGTTTCGGCCTTGCGAGATAATGTATGCCGTTCGCGGTCAGCTGTGAGCCGCAATTCTCGTTGTGAAGCAGTTTCAGCTTCTCGGGATAACACATGTTGTTCTCGGTCAATGGTAAGCCTTAGCTCTCGTTGAGAAGAACCTTGAGACGCCCGTGATGTAGCTCGTCTCGCTCTGCCAGCTGCTAATCGCATCTCTCTTTCTGGAGAGCTTTCATTGGTTCGAGAAGTTGAGGCACTAACTCTCATAGAGTTTAACCGTTGTGCTCTTTCCTCACATACCACGATAGCCGGTCTATCGTGGTTATGAGGGACTCACTGCCTACCGGGGGAACCTAAGTGATACTCTCTAAAAACCGCCTTTGGGCACTGGCAACTGGCTGTTTAAGCTTCTTATGCCGTATCGGAAACGACCCTCTTTTGGGAAAAGAGGGCGCAGATAGCTCGCACTCGGACCGCATTTTTATACCTCACGCCGCGAGCAGCGTCGAGCGCGGCGACCGTTACACAAAAATAATCTTTATAGGATGATTCAGTATTCACGCGCGATGGCTTATTAGCGTATTTCATGTATAACTTTGGTGTTTCTATACCGATTTATATGATTCTTTTTTATTGAATAGATAATAACGTTAACTTTTTTTTAATTAGGGATGAGTGAGAGTGTTATAAACGTAAGAGTAGACAAATATAATCAGAAAGCTCCGAACTGCTAAGCTATCGGGAGTTACACGTGTTATTATGAGTCAACCATAAAAGATAGACATATGCTGTCGTGGGATATTTTTTAATAAAATTTAAAGTAGAACATTTCCGTTATACATGAGTTCTGTGTAGCTTTAACCATTAAGGCTGCACACACGACGGAAGCTTAAAAAATGGAGTAATTTCTCCCGTTTCCCCAACATTTCCCTTCACTGCTCTGCTCCTATTGATCGTAGCGTGATGACAGTATACTATAACCTGCCCAGGAGTGTAAAGAATGATTGTGCCAAGTTTGTTAAAATCCGTCGGGTAGTTTTTGTTTCTATAACGAACATACAGACAGACAGACAGACAGACAAAAATTTTACTGTTTGCATTTTTGGCATCAGTATCGATCACTAATCACCCCCTGATAGTTATTTTGGAAATATATTTCATGTACAGAATTGACCTCTCTACAGATTTATTATAAGTATAGATGAAACGGATAAATTTTTTAACTGAACTGCAGTAAAAGAATTATGTTCTTTACGGTACCCAGCCTTTAATGAATTAATTTTCTTTTTGACGTTATCAGTAGTAGCATCTCTTTCCACTTCGTATAATTTCTGATAAATTATTATATGCTTGAAACTTCATATTTTTGTCTCTGTAATCATTACTTCTAAATTTCCAAAGACTAGGGTTATTTCGGAAAGCTTTTATAAATTCGGTTAGCAGTTCATGATTCGCATCGCATGAACTGCTAACCGAATCCGCACCGCAATTCGAAACCGTACGTCTATCACCCCTATTGGAGATGAAACGAATATCCTATACCGGATTTAAAAAAACCCACATAAAGCCACATAATATCAAATTTAGTAAAGTATCAAATTTCATTTATGTCACTTATCAAATATAATCAGCAATCACAAAATTTTCATTTTAAAACTTACAATATTGTTCTCGTACTGTGCTAAGGCACAGAATAAATAATAGTACTACGTAGCTAAGGGGAAATTGTGGTGAATAAAAACTAATTTCTTTGCATTGAAAAGTAATAAGCGGTTTCGCCTGTCTTCATAAATAAGGTCAGCTTCAGAAAAAAGTCTTCAGGTATACACACTGCTGCAGGGTGCTGAGAGATAGATTTTGGCATACTTTGATAAATTTGGTTATTGTGCAGTAATTCCTGCCCACCAAATATAAGGGTCACGATCGCGAACAGTTTGCACCGATTTTATTAGACTGAAGTTGAAGTATTTTATGTAAAATACTTCAACTTCAGTCTCTTTTAATTTAAGTAGATCAGATGCTGCTACTGCAGATGGTATGTCATGTCCATAAGTAATCAACCTGTCCAGCTTTCTTTTAACAGCACCACCCACGCCATCCGTCGGGTCTTTTCCATGTGATACTTCGAAAAAGGACCAAGTACTATGTAATCAAACATAGTTTCATTGATTTTCTGGTTAAATAAGTAAAAATTTTGCGTAGAGGGCTCATTGGAGAAAATATGAAGGACTCTCGTCGTTAAGTATTTTTCCAATCGCCCAAATCGCGCCGGAGTCGTGAGAAATAAATGTTAATATGCCACAAAATGAGGTAGGGTTGTGTCCTTGCAAATAAATTACCAATGTGAGTAAGGTATATTAATTTTCGCTTGCGCCAAAATTGTGCAGATTGAATTTCCTCAGACATTTTGCGAGTAAAATTTTCTGAAAAATCGCAAATTATAATTATTTCGTCATCTTTTATGGTCTTTTTGCACATTTTAAATGCTGAATACTGAGTGACTATGTTAAAGTAGTGAAGTTTAAAGACATGCAACTCTTCTTAAAGTTTTTCCACTAAAGTTTCTACGTTCCAATAAATTTGTCTTTTTGCCTTTTATACAGAGTCATTTTTTATTTACTGAAGACCTTTTGAGCAGCAGGATCATCGGTCCCATCGCGTCAGGGAGGTTGCAGCACCTACAGTTCGCAATAGTGGGTACAGCCCTAGGTGCTATGGCTATGGGGAAAAGGGCCACCTTCGATCCAGCTGCCCAAAGCGAACTGTAGAAAGGCTAAGTTATCGATCTCGAAAGGGTAGTGCGGCCAACAGCATCACCCGGCAGCGGCAGGATCATCGTTCTCCTCGCGTTAGGGAGGTTGCAGCAGTCACAGTTTGTGACCGCAATAAAAGATGCAGCCCAAGGTGCTACGGCTGTGGAGAAAGAGGCCATCTTCGATCCAGCTGCCGTAAGAGAACTGTAAAAAGGGAAAGTGATCGATCACGAGAGGGTAGTGCGGCTAACAGCACCGCCCAGCAGCAGCGGGAATAAGGCTTTACTATCGAACACTGAAGCGGGATATCGCATGGCAACGCAGATGCATTGTCAAGAAGACCTTATCCTGATTATTGCAAGAATAGTGCTAGGCAAGATGGTAAGGAAGTGATATCTGTGAGGATTCTCAGGGCAGAACACCTCTGCAACGGATGGAAGGACAGCCTATGATATGCACAGCAGGAAGATTTGGACATCAAGCCGATTCTAGGATGGATGAAGGCCAGTGCTCTCAAGCCCAAGTGGAGAGACGTCTCAGCGATGAGTTCGACCACGAAAAGCTATTGAACCCAATGGGAAAGCTTGCTGATTCAGGGTGGAGTTCTTTGCCAGAAACGGGAAAATAGTCGAGGAGATACCTGTCATTTGCAAATGGTTGTCCCTAAAGCTAAAGGGCCGGATGTTCTATAGCTTTACGATAATGGTTGTTCAGGAGGCCATCTGGGAGTTAAACAAACTCTACTGAAGATCCGAGAACGGTTTACTGGTTCCATTATAGTGACGATGTCGAGGATTGGTGTCGCAAATGTACAAGTTGTGCGGCTGTGAAGGGACCTCAGGCTCGTAGTAGAGGTGCATTGAAATTGTACAATGTTGGTGCACCGTGGGAGTGGACTTGACCCTTGACGTTTCGGAGCCGTTTCTGAAAGGTGCAAGAGGTACAGACGTTGAATTTTTCTTAAAGAATGAGTTTCACTGATTCCGGGGAAGATTCACTCACTTCCTCTGCATTTCAACATAGGACGTGTGTTTTTTTCATCTTTTCTCTTTATACTTGTATAATAAAAGCAACTCATCATCATTTTCTTCCTCTTCTAACAAAATATACAAAAATAAATCACGATCGCAATTTTCAAGCACGGCAGACATCATTTCCCACTGAACACTCGGAACAGACTGGACAGCTGGACACTAGCTGCTGCCGTCTGCAGTCGGGTTCGGAATCATGACTGCAGCGACACGTCACCTGCTGCTGCTGTCTGCAGTCGGATGCGGAATTGCACCTTTAATTTCAGGAATTTCTTTGCAAATATGGCAAGATTAGTACATGCATTTCTTGCAGGTATACTCCCAAACAACCTACCTAACAAGCTGTGATAATGAGTTTGTTCTAAGTAATCCCAAAGTCTTTAGTTTATGTGCTCTGTCATTTACATAAGGGCTTAAAACAAAAAAAAAAAATGGTCTTTAACGCCCCCAAAAGTCGTTCGAGATGCTTTTCCTCCTTCCGATTGATATTTTTTGTATAAATTGTCTATGGTATCTGTTAAGAAACGTTTCTTCATTTTGATCTTGTTCAAAGTATTGGTTTCACTTTTCCCTAGTGTAGAGCGGCTTATCTCGTCACGCAGGAAAAATCCTAAAATGTTTCTGTACGATTTTTTAATCTATTTCTAAATCTTCCTTTAAAACCTAACATCATTGATAAACTGGTTTACATTCGATACTTTGTAGAAATCTCGTTGTCAGCAATGTTTTTATTTTAGATTTTACTTCATTTGTGCAGAATTCTTGAATTGTGTTTTAAGGGAATCTAATAAATGATCTGAACATTAAGTTCGAAAGTTTTATTTTTATCGTCCGAATTGGGGTTTGCAAAGAATCTATAAATGAAATAGTTTTGCTTAAAGAATTTGTAGCTGGTGATCTCTCCACTCGCACATCACTGGAGTCTGAAGTGTGGTTGGCAGGGGCGGAGCTATCGCCGTATCAGCCGTATCAATGATACGGGGCCCCCGGGCTACAGGGGCCACGAACATGTGTAAGCAACAATTCGTAAAATGTTATCCACAATCTCGTTTAAACTCTTAGGCCGTTTTTCCCGGGAAAAAAGTCATATCGTCAAATGGGCAGTTTTTGATGATATGATTTTTACGTGCCTAAAGAAGACCTGTCAAAACTTTACCAATTTTCTGTAGATTTTTGATACATCTCGATAACAGGAAATTAAAGACATAAAAGCTAAATAAATAAAAATCTGCGAGTCCTTTTTGGGGTTTAAAGCACTATCCGATTGCAGTGCAGGACTTAAAACTCTAATTTTATATACCTTAAAAGAATATGGAATTGATTGATCCAAATGTAGAGGGCAGGGTTACGATGAAGCAAATGTCACGTCGGTTGTATATAGAGGATTACAAACCCTTTGTTACGGCCCTCAGTTACCCTGACAAAAGTCGACAGGAGTGGGCGGCGTTGCCTATTTTGGTCACTCGCGTGTCCAAGTAATATA